GTATTCAAGCAGCACTTCCTCCATGCTCAGCAGCAGTGCATCCCGGTGTGTAAGAAGTCAGGCAGGGGGTGGGGCAGGAGGCCTGCATGGATGGACAAGGAGCTGCTGGCAAAACTCAAACAGAAAAAGGCACTATACGGAAAGTGGAAATAAAGGACAGGCTTGTTGGGAGGAATATAGGAATGTTGTCAGGGAATGCAGGGATGTGACAAGGAAAGCTAAGATGCAATTGGAATTAAATTTGGCAAGGGATGTTAAAAATAACAAGAAGAGCTTTTTCAAATATATCAGTGGTAAAAGGAAGATTAGGGAAAACATGGGTCCATTGGTGAATGGCATGGATGCCCTGGTTATGAAAAACATGGAAAAAGCGGAGCTATTGAATGCCTTCTCGCTTCAGTGTTTACTGTTGCACTTTGTGAAGGAGCGGACTCAGTCCTTCTGTTCCTTTGTTAGGTATGAACCCGTAGTTCCCAGCCTCTTACCTCTTTCAAGAGGCTTTCAGTGCATGCACAAAGGATGCTTCCTTTCAGCATGATCCTTAAGCTTCCTTTCACCGTAAATCCCGGAGTTCAGCTGGGCAGTGCAACCAGAGAGACAGCTGGTCTTCCGAGCCCCACATTGGGTGCCGTTTGCGGGCATATTGAGGAGCAGGGTCTCTGCGACGGTGATCCACAAACCTTTATCTAGGGTTAAACACAACTTACCCAGTTTTCCGATCCCCGGAGCAGCCCCTGCCCTGCCCGGCAGCACGCGGAGCCCAGCAACCCAACCAGCCAATCAGGCAAGTGATCACACACCGACCACACGTGAGGCCGCCCAACGAGCTGCCTGGTCATGTGCTGGCCGCGTGGCTGCAGCTCCCGCTTCTCCTGCTCAGCCCCTCCATCTGCCGAGGCGACACTGCCCAGCACTGGCCCCAGGCTGACCGCAATAGCCTGTAGTTTCCCAGGTCCTCCCTCTTGCCTTTTGGGAGACTGGAGTGACGCTAGCTTTCTTCCAGTCCATCAGCACCTCCCCTGATCTCCATGACTTCTTGAAGATGATGGAGAGTGGCTTAGAAATAACCGCCAACAGTACCCTCACCACTCTTGGTGCATCTCATCTGGGCCCACAGATTTATGGGTGTTCAGTTTGCATAAATAATCTCTAACTCAATCCTCTCAAACATGAGGAAAGGCTTCCTCCCTCTAGATTTTCTCTCTTATCTCTGGACTCTGTAGTTAATGGGAATTAGCCTTAGCACTAAAGACTGAAACAAAGAAAGCATTTAGTAACTCTGTCTTCTCTGCATTTCCCTTCAGCAAGGCACTCACCCCATTCAGCAGTGGGTCCACATTTTCCCTAGTCTTCCTCTTGCTGCTGATGCAGCCCTTCCTGCTGTCCCTGACATCTCTTGCTAACTCTAATTCAAAACAGGCCTTGGTCTTCCTCGTTGCATCCCTGCATTCTCTAATAATGTTCCTATATTCTTCCCTCGTGGTCTGACCCTTCATTCACATTGTGTATCCTCTCTTTTTCTGTTTTACAAAAGATCCCTGCTCATCCACACAGATCTCCTGCTCCCCTTGCTTGACTTCTTACTTTTAGGAATGCACAGATTCTGAGCTTGGAGGAAGTTGTGCTTGAATATTAGCCAAATCTCCTGGACTCTCATTCCTTCTAGGACGCTGGCCCAGGGGATTTCTCCAAGGAGCTCCTTGAAGAGGTCAAACTTAGTTCTCTTGAAGTCCAGGGTTGCAATCCTACTTCTTGCCCAGCTTCCTCCTCGCAGGATCATGAATTCCAACATCTCATGGTCACTGCGGCCAAGACTGCCCTCAACCTCCACATTTCCAACTAGACCATCTCCGTTTGTTAGTTTCAGGTCTAGCAGTACCCTCTCCTTGTTGGCTCATCTAACACCTGCATCAAGAAGTTATGTGCAATGATCTGCAGGAACCTCCTGGACTGTCTGTTCCTAGCTGTGTGGTCATCCCAGCAGACATCAGTGTGGTTCAACTCCCCCATAAGGACTAGGCCCTGTGATGGTGAGGCTTCTTTCGCAGAGAGTGATTTGGGAGTCCTGGCTGACAACAGGTTAACCATGAGACAGCAATGGGCCCTTGTGGCCAAGAGGCCAATGAAATCCTGGCCTGCATCAGGAGGAGTGTTGCCAGACGGTCAAGGCAGGGGATCCTCTCCCTCTACTCAGCTCTGGGGCAACTGCACCTGGAGTATTGTGTGCAATTCTGGGTTCCCCAGGACAAGAGGGACATTGAGCTTGTGGTTCAACTCCCCCATAAGGACTAGGCCCTGTGATGGTGAGGCTTCTTTCGCAGAGAGTGATTTGGGAGTCCTGGCTGACAACAGGTTAACCATGAGACAGCAATGGGCCCTTGTGGCCAAGAGGCCAATGAAATCCTGGCCTGCATCAGGAGGAGTGTTGCCAGACGGTCAAGGCAGGGGATCCTCTCCCTCTACTCAGCTCTGGGGCAACTGCACCTGGAGTATTGTGTGCAATTCTGGGTTCCCCAGGACAAGAGGGACATTGAGCTTCTAGAGAGCATCCAGCGTAGGGCCACAAAGATGATGAAGGGACTGGAGCATCTACATTATGAGGAAAGACTAACTGAGCTGGGCCTGTTTAGTCTGGAGAAGAGAAGGATTGAGGAAGACTTGGTCAACATGTTCAAGTACCTGAGGGGTTATTGTAGGGAGGATGGGGCCAGGCTCTTTTCTGTGGTGACCAGTGAAGGACAAGGGGTAATGGGTGTAAGTTGAAACATAGGAAGTTTAATCTCCATATGAGGAAGAACTTCTTCGGTGTCAGGGTGACAGAGCACTGCCCAGAGAGGCTGTGGAGTCTCCTTCTCTGGAGATCTTCAAACCCGCTTGGACGCAGTCCTGTGCCACGTGCTCTAGGTGACCCTGCGTGTGCAGGGGGGTTGGACTAGATGATCTCTAGAGCTCCCTTCCAACCTTAACCATCCTGCGATTCTGTGATTTTTGCAGCTGCCTGTAAGGTGTCAGGGTGACAGAGCACTGCCCAGAGAGGCTGTGGAGTCTCCTTCTCTGGAGATCTTCAAACCCGCTTGGACGCAGTCCTGTGCCACGTGCTCTAGGTGACCCTGCGTGTGCAGGGGGGTTGGACTAGATGATCTCTAGAGCTCCCTTCCAACCTTAACCATCCTGCGATTCTGTGATTTTTGCAGCTGCCTGTAAAAGGCCTCATCCACTTCCTCTTCCTGGTCAGGAGGTCTGTAGTAAACACCCATCACAGGGTCGCCCCTTTTGGCTGCTCTTTAATCCTCATCCACAGGCTCTAGACTAGCTCTTCGTCCTCCCCTATGCTGAGCTCCATACATTCCTGTTGGTCTCTGATGTAAAGAGCAACTCTGCAACCTCCCCTTCCTGGCCTGTCCTTCCTAAAAAGCCTAAAGCCACCTATGGCCATGTTCCAGTCATGAGAGCTGTCCTACCATGTCTCAGTAATTGCAATAAGATCATGGCCCTGCAACTGCACACGCATCTCCAATTCCCCTTGTTTATTCCCCATGCTGAATGCACAGAGACATTTAAAGTGGACTACCAATGTGCCTCTCTTGTTAGCTGGGGCAGCTGTAGCTCTACTACGTGAGCCTTCAGCAGCTCTCCTGATTTCCTATTGTCTCTCTCCAGGCTTCAAGCAACCTTTCCTGGCTCTGGAGTGAGGCTCGTGTGAGTGGTATGACAGGCCATCCCCTACCTTATCACCAGCTTCCCTGATGATACCCCCCTCCCCCGTCAAATCTGGTTTAAAGCCTTATCAGTAAGTCCTGCTAGCTCGTGACCAAGGACTCTCGTTCCCCTTTGGGAAACATGAATCCCATCTGATGCCAGCATGCCTGGTGCCCTGTAAGGCTTCCTATTGCCAAAAAACCTGAAGTTATGGTGATGCACCAACCACAGAGACACATGTTAATGGACTGAACCCTCCTGTTTCTTTCCATATTCCTGTCAGCAACAGGGGGAATGGAAGAAAAGATGACATGCACACCCAAGTTCCTGATTGTCCAAAACAACTCCCTAAAGTCCCTTTGATTGCCCTCAGGCTACGTGTTGCCACTTCCTCTCCTGGAAAGTAACATTACCATTAATAAAACCTGAGAAGCATGGTGTCAAAAGCAGAACTTCTAATACAAATAAGGATATGGAAATGATCACTTCTCAGATGGAAACAATTAGAATTTCATGTTAAATTGGATCTTATACCAATTATGGATCACAGACATGGGCACATGAAACTGCAGCAACTGGTAATAGAAGCATTTTTAAACTGTTTTTACCAAATTAGGGGCAATGTATTTACTAAATATCAAATGCAGAATCTAGAAGTTCTGCAAAAGTATTACAGGTCTGTTAGTTTGATGAGGACCGAATGCAAACTTCTTCTGACTGGGGTGTTATGAAATGCACCAATTCAGCTCCAAGGCAGGACACAATTAACCACATGAACAGCTTAGTAAATGAGGTTGCACACTCCTGATCGCAGGTAACTCCTGAATCAAAATGTGCATGCATATGTTTTGCTTTGTTTTGTTGTTGTTTTGTTGTTGTTGTTGTTTGTTTGTTTCCAGATGTAAGCTAATAAGGTAAAGAAAAGCTAATTTGGGGTAGTTCTATGGTGTACAGGCCATTACCACATGCATCAGTGTATCGTTGAGTGATGCTGTGGGTAATGTCCTGCTGCAGAGGACAGAGGTCCCTCTCCACAGACCTGACCCCTTGTCCAGACAGGTTTGCTGCCTGACTGCAAGGTGCCAGAGAGAGACAGCCAAGGCTTGTCCATGCACTGGACCACTCCTCTCATCCTCTTCCAGGTGGGTGTTAATGATATCTGGGGGAACTGGAGACCGGTCAGAGAGGATGGCAGAGCTGCAGGGATGGCGGTCACTGGAAAATATACAGAAGATGACTGTGGATGGTCTAGGGAACCCTTGATTACCTCCACAAACTGCCTCGGCACCAATGCATGCGGCATGGAGAATAACCTGGAGGAACTGGAGGTATGTGTGCAGTTACAGGACCATGAACGCATTGCAGTTACACAGATGTGGAGGCAGCAGCCTACCAACCATAGGCCTGGACCTCATGGAGGGCTGCAACCACCCTGGCATCCACTGGAAAGACAATGCAGCCAGGCACAAGCAGTCCCAGAGATCCCAGCTGGGCACTGAGGACAACTTTGTGATACAGGAGGTGGAGGAGCCAACAAGGATGAGAATATCTAGATCACAGAGAAGCCTTAAGGCTGGGAACACATCTGCTTTTGGCATAAATCAGATCTTTATCCTGCAGGTAGAAAGGAGGCAATGGGGAAGGGGAAACCTCTTCTAAGTGTGATAATTCCTGCATCATGAAAGCTGAAGTCAAAGGAAAAAGAAAGAAGAAAACATCTCTAACCAGGCTAAAATAAAAATGGTTCACTTTTGTACTTGAGGTAAATTACGAACAAAAGAAACTCTGGAAGAGGACAGGCTGTTGCATGGACATAGTGAAACTGTTAATGATACCAAAAGGAAGAGTTGGTCACGTTTGTTTTGCACATGTAAGATGCAACATGAAAACATCAGCCAATAATAAACGGTGGTTTGGTGATAATAAACATTTTTTTTTAAATATCAGGACACACTGATCTGCACCCATGAGTCTAAAAAAGTTCCTTAAGGAGATCTTTGGTTTGACACTATTGGAGGAAAAGCATGTTCTTAAACAACTTGGTCTGCATTTGGCATTCATCCAACAAACCTCCAATAGTGTTCAGAGTACATGCACACAAATGAAGTCAGCAATACTGCAGGAATCAGGAAAATCCAGATTTTTGTGACTCAAGTATATGACTTCACATCCTCATAATTCCAATAGCAGTTTGAAAATTGCTCCCAACACTTCAGAAGTGTATTACCCCAAGAAGTGTAACGCAGTGAAGCAACACTTACTTCACTGAAACAAACTTTTTGCCCAGGAAATGGCTAAACCTTAACTTTCAGAGAGTCTTTTTTTTCCTCCCAAGTATTATTTCAACAGTCGAAGCCTACATTAACGTTCATTTTTCTCTGACATCAACACACACACACACAAAAAAAGATTTTTCGGATGGAAGATGTCTTACAGAAAAAAAATCTCAGCAATTTTGTGTGCTTGTGTTGCACAAAAGAGAGATCTGGCAAACAGCTGAAGTGTTGCAAGCTCTCATATCTAAAATAGCAGGCAAAAATCCCTCCAGTAAACCAACAGTATCCTCAAAACAACTTTCATGATCCCTGATGGCATCCAAACCAGAACAAAATGCCTTAGAAAAAGTACTTACAAAGCTAAGAGAGGTATATAGGGGCGGTGTGTATGTACATGTGTAGGTGTGTGTTTGTATATGCACATGCACATATACATATACACACACATATAGATTAGAATAATTATGCCATGCTAGATCAGAAATTGGTGGAGCTTAATCTCCTCTCTGACAACATGCACCCAGGAAAACAGATGAAATTGGGAAGCATCCTGTGATACTTCCCCAGAATTCCACTAGCAGCTTTGTCCATGAAACAGGACATCTTTTCTTGTTTTTATGAGAAAGGAAGTGAAACTCAGCAGCATTCTACTATTTTTGGAATAAATATATTATTATTATTTGATCATAAATATTCTCACAGTAATAGCTTCCCTTTCATTTTATTTACTAGTATCACCTTAAGAAATGCCCACGTTGTGTATGTGTATCAGGGTGTGAAATGCCCATCCTATGGACGAAGATATCAGCCCAAAACATGAAGCACGATTAGTCTATCCTTGATCTGAAGGGTTTCTTGTAGTACTGTTCAGTGGGACGACAAGTTTAAGTTTTGTGTGTGTACCCTTTAATGACACTGCAGGTACTCTGATAGTTCCTCTGCAGGAGTTTACAGAAACATTTTTAGAGACAGAAAAATGAATGCTAGTCAGCAAATTACTGCTGCTGTTAACACAGGGCTCACTGCTGTTGCATTAAAGAACCTGTAGCATCACTTTCTAATTCTCCCAAGTCCTTCCCTTTGTGAGAGACTCATCTCTTAAATCCCGTAGGTCTGCATTCTTGTTTCCTAATTCTTCTTGTTATAATTCCACTGGGAATTTTAACCTTTTTTTTTTTTTCCTTAGAAACGTAACTCTACAAAAGTTGTCTCCCAACATGTTTCAGAGCAGGATTAATTCTTACATGCTCAGAGTCTCCTTTTTCCCCCCTCCTTAATGTTGACTTCTGCAGCTGACATGCCAGCGTGACATTTGTGAAGGTCTTCAGCTAGAAGGGGAGAAGACACCTACTCAGAAATGGAACACAAAGACAGAGGGTAGCCTGGTGGATGACTGTCACTGTCCCTTTGGGGTATATTTCTGTTTGTGAGATCTCTCCTGGGGCTTAGAAAATAGCTTTTATGTCCTGAAGTATGCTGTGCAATCTGGATGCTCCCTGAGCATCCAGCAACTGGTCCTAGTACATTTTTCTCCTAAAAACTTTGAAAGTACTTGAAAGCAGACTGAAGTTTTCAGCACTTTTCTATCCTGTTCTAGATGGGCATGTTTGATACACCAATGACCTCTAATCTTGAAAGAGGATACCCAGAAAACGAAAAGTAATGTTTTCTAGTTTCACTTCTGTTAAAGAAGAAAGACTTTTCAGTACTTATCCCAGTTCTTTCTCATCTGGTGTCCAGACTCACACTTGGAGAGTCAACACACCCAAACTCACATCACCTGCAAAACATAGCAGCTCACAAAGGCTTTAGCATCCCCTGTGCAGTAGCGTGGACGGAATAAATAACACACAGCTTTTGGAAGCCTGTAATTTTGAGAAACATTGCCCCTGACTACACCCCACACAGACAGAGCTTGTCTGCTTTATGTTATTATTGAAAAGTATTTCTTAAATAAAGAATCAGAATGTAAAGGTTAAGTATTATTCACAGGAAACTAATGTGTTTGGCAGCACTTGTTTTGTGCATCACAGATTTTATGTATCTCGCTCATATTGTGTTCTTTAGCCTCAGAGGCTGAAACGCAGCTCCAGACTCACTGCTCACTCTTAAAAAATACCACATGCAATCTTTGAAATGCTGCACCTGAACTCCTCAAAATTCTTAGCTGGGATAATAATAATAATAATAATAATAATAAAGTAGGTGAGGAGTAAGTAAAACTCAGAACCTTCCCATTTTAAACTAGGAAATATGGCAAATTGGAAGCTGAAGGGAAAGCGGTGAGATGTCAAAATGCAGACTGTCTATGGGAGCTTGGCAACACCAGAGCAAGGGGTGGAAGAGGTCCGTGGCATGTGAAAGGGCTGAGCATGCTCAGCACTGCACTTGCAATGGAAGAGAAGGAGATAATGAACTGAGGATAGAAGTCAGCAGAGCATGAAGAGAATCCATCGGTGGATAAGGGTGAAGGATGACTGTGAGAAAACAGGGGAAGGAGATAGAAATTGAATGAAGAGCAACATACTAGCAAGGTAGGCCAGGTGACAGCAATGCTGAAGAGAAAAGCTGACACTGCTCAGAAGAGGGAAAGCTGGAAAGAAGCAGGGTAGGGGAAGAGGCAGCAGTGGAAAAGTAGCAACCCAGCTCTCCTCCAGAGCCTGGCTCAATTCAGACAAAATCCAGCAGGACGAATATCAGATGATGGGATATGGGTCTCTGAAAGAGTCAGGAGGTAGATAGGATGCCATGGACATATATGGATTTTAGAAAAAGGCATTTCAAAAACAGCGGGAGAAGGCAAGGTGATGTTAAAATCAATAATGGGCTGGTGACATGCAAAGAGGATGGAAGTAAATGTCAGTCAAGCGCATGGTGAGGGAAAGGAAGCAACAGCCTTTGCAATAAGGCTGTGGAATTTAGATTTGTGCTTGCAATGGGAGAGAAAAAACAAGGCAGAAAGGATCCAGCAAAGATAACAAGAACCACTAAGACATAAGGGTAAACAACAGAGAAAAATCACAGAACCACAGAATGTTTGAGGAAGGAGTGTCTGGAAGGGGCCCCGGCCATCAAACAACCCACCTGCTCAAGTAGGTCAAGGCAGCTTATCCAGGACCCTCCACAGACAGCTTCTGAACATCTCCAAGGATCCAGATGGAGTTTCCTGTGTTTCAGTTTGTGCTCACTGCCCTTTTCCTGTCCCTGGGCACCACTGAGAAGTCTGATTGTCTCCTTTGCACTCTCCTGTCGCCATGAGTATACACCTTGATAGGATCCCTCTCAATCTCCTCCAGACTGAATAGTCCCCAGCTCCCTCAGCATCTCCTCATATGAGAGATGCTCCAGTCCCTTAATCATCCCAGTAGCCCTTCACTGGACTCGCTCCAGAATGTCCATGTCTCTCTTGTACTTGGGAGCCCAGAGCTGAACTCGGGACTCCAAGTGGGCATCAGCAAGAAAAGGTGACAGTAAGATAACAAAAAAGGATGAGTGGCACATAAACCAGGACCCTCCCCCAAGATCTTTGAAAAATGCTGAAAGATATTTGTAGCAGGTCCCCAAACACTGGAGTACTCGGAGGAAAATGGAAGGACGGTGGCGAGGCAAAGCTCGAAGATGAAGACAAGTACATTTTCCACATTCTTGCAGATCTTTCTACTAGGTTATTAATAGCAGTCGCCCACGCTCTACATTATTCCTTAGGACAAGCTAGAAGGACAAACCAAGTACCATTCTCCACAATACACCACTGCTTCAGCAGGGTTGAGAGATGGGACAAATGCAAGAAAAGCCAGTTGTGCTTTCCCTCCACTTTGATTTGTTGTTTTTCTTGCTTTATTCTATTAATCCAAGGCTTGAAGACTCCTCTCTTATGGGGAGAAGCTCCATTCAGGATCTTATTACAAACTGGTCTCACCCTCCAGCAAGGACCTCTTCCCACATGAGGAGATCATGCTCCTTCTCGCTCTAAAGGACCGAACTGCAATTTTGCTGCTCTTACAGAGCAGCCTGGCTGCGCTGCTCAACAAGAGATAATTAAAACCTTCCCT